GTGTGTGTGTGTGTGTGTGTGTGTGCACATAAACCTTTTCTCATGTGTAAAAGTGAACAATATTACTCCTTGCTGAGATATACAAAGCAATCTCAAAAGACAAGCATATGCAAGTGAAAAAAATACACTGTTAACAAAAGAGAAAACCTTCACATCTATCATCTCGTACGATTATCCATCGGAGATCATTTCGGTACAAATTCCCGAATATGAATACAAGATATGAAGAGAGACCAAACCACACACATTCGGCAGCACCTCCAATACCACATACTTGGAAGGAATCCACAGATTGGACGATCCAGTGTCAAAAATGACCTTGAATGACTGAGCAGGCGTACCAATGGACACCACACCGAAGTACTGCGCATTGAGATAGTCCTTAAGATAGATGTGAGGGGCATCAGGGTCATATTTGTTGGTCTCCGGTGCCATCCACATGTGCTCGTTAGACGCTCCACTCTCGAGGTATTGTAGCATGGAAGGTGCGTTCTTGATAAGCTCGACTTTGTGCAGCTTGGGAGTGGCGGCTGGCTCGTTCACGGAGAGACCGCATACGGCAGCTGCCAAGGTGATGAGGACTGCGGGAGTGAACATGGTGTATGTTTACGGGTTAGGTACGTATATACGCTTGAGTAGTTAGTTATACAAACACTAGTGTAGATGTGTACGTGATCCGGTTGTGTTGTTTGTTTTTGTATTTGTTTTATGCTGATGTCATTTGTCCAATCGTCGAATGATGATCTTGCAGAAAAGCGAAAAAGCATCTACAGCTATTGAAATAAACGACGGACGTTTTTATTTAGGATAAAAGATTTTGTTTTTTTTGTTTTTATTTATTTATTAAAAAACAGTTTTTCTTTCTAATTTTTTTTTTGGGTATTTACACAACTTTTTCTCTATCTTCTCCGAAGTGACAAAGGATCATTATTTCAAGAAACGTCATACTCACTATTGCAACGAAATATATATCAAACTGCAATTGTTTTATATTACAAAATAATGTTTTATATTAAATACGGGTTAAAAAATGTCAGGCTGTCAGCACTCAACACTCAACTCAGCACAGCCACAAAACAAAGTCTTCACAACTGTCGTCATTGACTCTCTTCGTCGTCTGATAAAGTGACAACTGATAAAGTATTGTATTTTTATATATAAAAATCCTTCAAAATTGTTTGTTTGGTTTGGTTTTGGGGGGGGGGATTTTTTGTAACTAAAAAGAACAAATCAAAATATGTGTTGTTATTTATCAAAACAGAACGCTCTGAATTGTCATTGAATAAAATGGATCTCAATAAACCAATCAACATGCCTACAATGTATTGATATGCAACTTTGTTCAATCATATGTCACTAGTTGCAAGCGTGCTCTAGAACACGTCGAGAGTTGAGGCTCTGCCGCTCTGCGCCTCTGCGACTGCCTCTCTGACCAGTGACCTCCCAAACTCCCGGCTCCCTGACCCTCGGACTCGTCGTTGTAGACTGAATCCGAACTTCTGAAGTCTGAACTTCTGAAGCCTCTGAGTGAGGTCTGAGTGACTGTGAGTCTCTGAGACGGGCTGGAACTTGGAAGTTTGGAACTGGTATTGTATGGACAATGGCGCCATATTCTGAGATATTTACACAACAATATTTAGTATTACGTATACATGTACTATTAGTCTATTACATTGATACGAATACAATTCGAATACTGTTGAGCCGACTGCAGTCTGAACTCTGCACAATATGTGACTGTGACCTATAGCTTTTGTTAAAGTCACAAGACAAACAGTCACGCGCTAAATGAAATTGGGAATCTCGGAATAAAGAGTTTTGAACTTTGTTGGGGCTTGCGACTCTGCGACCTGCGTCATACAAGCGTGATAAAGCACTGGCACTCTGGCTGCCAACAGCTCTTATTGAGTTTATTGGTATCTGTTATACAATAACGCTACACTTCATGTACGCATCCCAATATCGCAGGCTTCTACACTTCACCCCTGGCTATCGTGGCATTCTCTGGGGTAGTGTCCAATTTGCTGCGTAGGAGGCAAGTAATAAACGGATTAGGAATACGTTTTTGAAGTTTAAATGTCATTTAATTTGGCGGAACATTTTAAAACTTCCACCAAAATGTATGACAATATTCCAGTTCGGTTGCTTCATTATGCCAAATTGTTAGCAAGTTTCCACACAACAAGAAGAAAAGGATGAGAAAGCTTTGATAATTGATATGAAATTTGAATCTTGTTGGAGGTGTTGTTAAGGGTTTTGAAACGAGTGTTCGAGGTAATTTAAGGTTTAGGATGGACAACCTAACATAACATCTGTTTCAGCAAACTGCCATACTCTCCACTTACCTTTCACTTGTCTCCTTCTGCGTCTGTGCCTGTGCCTGTGCCTTCGATTTCGTCGTCGCGAGATGGAATGCCCATCGTAAGGCCACATTAAACGCCGCTGTGTGCTCCCCTTTAAAAACCAACACATACTCCCGTTTCACGCGAGCATCCCAAAATACAATCCCCATTCTGAGCTCAGCGGTTTTCTTGCTCTGTTCCATGAGGGATAGGGCTACGTGACACAGCGGGTATCTGTGGATGTATACGTATATTGTATATTTGTCCGTATAAATGGGGTGTTGCTACATCTCACAGGATTGAGTAGTACTTCTTGTGATTATGCTCAACTTTTCTAAATACGGTTTACATAGTACACATCGACGTATACGTTGTAAAGTGATATCAACGTAAGACTATACTGCTTATTCGCCAAGGATTAAAACTTTTACCAATGTGCAATCCACGTGTTCCGACAAGTATGTATTCACATTGCAAATCTCGAGAGAGTTTGCGTACTATACTCTACATTAACATTAGCCAACGAATACCCTTTACCATCACTTACTGGACACTAACTGTTGGCGAATCCGGTCCAGGTATATATGTCAGTTTCACTCCCTTAAGAGATACTTGCACGGTCACTTGACCGTTTCTGGTTGGACCTTGTGTAGGAGATAGTCCCGCAATCCCTTCTGTTTTACTAATGTCGTCGTTGCTGTCTGATTCTTTGCGAAGCCTGCTCAGTGCTTTACGGCAGGCATTATTCATATCTCTCGAGTCCGTTGGCACCTGTAATATGATGTGTGTAACCAACGACGTTAAGGCTACAAAGACCATGAAGATTGGGTTTCCACACACAAAGTACACTCTGTTGGTCAATGTTTCTGGTTTGATGCTGGTGTGTTTGTTGAGGGATTAGGTTCAGGACTTCGAGCAAGATCAGTTAAACCATTCACAGCTACCGAGAGAGGCATGCCATTGAACAATATACCACAATATTAGGCGTGCGTCCTACCTCATCTCAACGTGAAACGATCTATAGGGTTACAAACGATGTCTCCTGCAATCGGTCGACAGTGCAGTGGGTACTATAACACATTATGGTTAAACTATTGATAATCTTTACGGTAGACGTTGTTTTGCTGTCGTACGATATTGCTGTGAAATGTGCCGAAACCCTGACAGTAGCATGAATATACACATGTATGCATATGCCTCTATCTTATCTATATACCTACAATCAATTTACATATCAATATATTATCACGCTTCAGAGTGCACACACCTCTCCATAGCCCACATACGTCACCGTGTACGTGAACGTCGATTCTTCATTGTACTGCCGGTCGTTCATCTGCGGCACAACTGATTTCCGTCTGCTATCAGCGAGAGCTGCACTGTCTGTTACAAGCTCCCGCTGCTGTGTATCGTCGATAGTGAACCACTCGTCCATTGCCGCGGATTTGCGCTTTGTGTTCGGGGTCATGAACTTGGACATCCAGCTTTTCCGCTTGTCTTTTGAGTCGTGCTGCTAAACGGAACAGAGAGAGAGAGGCCGGTACACTGAATAGACGATAACATGCAGTTGTCAGACAACTATAATATTAAAACTGTGCGCGTTCTAATAATCGTACAAGTAGCAGTATACAAACTCATATACGTCTGTATAGTGTACTGCGTTTTAGTCGACTAGCCGGTCACTCCCTGGGATTTAGAAGAGTAGGCAAGCGGGACGCCTTACTTAGCTACATTTAGCACAGATTGCTGATACAATAACAATCACTATTTTCATGAGACAACTACTGTGACAGGATGCTTTGTATGCGTGAAACAATGAGGGTTGAACGCTGTAATATAGCACGAGTAGAGATTTAGGAAACAGATTGGTTAGCATTTCACTCTATCTATGCATTTCATACTTACTAACAATCACGAAGACATTCTACAAAGGGGACAAAAATGAAATACCTAGAAAGTACCAAACAGACTCAGTCCGACGAAGTACGAGAAAACCTGGACAGGTATACACTGCGTGGCAATTCAGCTATCTTGGGATGATAAAGAGTGGAAATAAAAAAATCTGACCCCCACATTGACTCAAAACCAGTGTATGCTACTAAGACGAAAAGAAGAAGCATACAAATAGGAGTTATATATATATATATATATGTGTGTGTGTGTGTGTGTGTGTACACGTGTA